GTCGGACCGTGGACAAGGTACATTTTCAGACGTTTCGCCGGCATCGTAGTCGGCATCGTCAGTGAGTTTTACCATTCGTAGCACTATATTACAACTTTGTCTTTGATCCATTAGGTGTTGGTGATTCTATAATGTTTCAACACATGTTTTGATTTTTTGGACGCCTAGAGGTGTATGTTTTATTATTACCTGGTTTTTAGATGATTGGACATATATGTACAGAACTGAGAAAATGTGAATCACCTGTGGGATATTTGGGTATGGTGTTAGCGATGTTTTCAATTTTTGTGTTGGGATTTATTGTTTGAGCTCACCACATGTTTACCGTTGGTATGGATGTAAAGAGAATATCCTTTTTTAGTGCTCTGACAGCTTTAATAGGTATACCAACTGGTGTGAAGGTAATTTCGTGGGTGTCTATGCTAACCACCGGATCAGTTGGTTTGGGTGATCCGGTGGTTTGGTGGTTTGGTGGATTATTTCATTCATTATATTGTTTACATTAGGTGGTATAACTGAAATAGTGTTGTCTGCTTCAAGTGTTGATATTAGTTTACACGATTTGTCGTTTGTGGTTGCCTAGTTTCACTATGTATTGTCACTTGGTTCTTATAGTACGGTTGTTATTGGGATTTTGTGGTAGTGACCTGTTTTAACCGGTTATAAAATCTCTCAGTCTCATTGCATTGTTTCAGCTGTTGGGTTTAATTTGTGTTTCTTTCCGATGCATTATTTTGGGATGTGTTGTTTACCGCGTCGGGTTTGTGTCTATGATTCGTCCTTCTATTGGATGAATGGTGTGTGCACAATGGGTAGGTTTTTATCTTCTTTTAGTGCTTGTTTTTTATGTATATATTATGAAATTCGTTGGTGGAACGAGATTTGTTTGTGGGGAGTTTTCGTAATACAGGTCCATCATTAAAGTAATGTCTTGGCCTATGACATTTCATGACGTGTTTCACAGAAAAACTGTGAAAACATCTTTTGTTGTTAGTGGGGAGCATCAATTAACCACTCTATATCTGTCTAGGTTTTTAATTTTCTTCTGGCTCTATTATTCTTGCCCTAGTGTTAACGAATGGTAAAACTCACTGACGATGCCGACTACGATGCAGGCAAAACGTCTGGGAATATACCGCGTCTACGGTCCGACTTTGAAAATAATTATGCATACAATGGACTCAGGACAAAGTGCTTTTCTATTAGGCTTCCTACAAATATGACCAAGTTGCGAAAACAAGGTCAAACAATTTCTATACAACGGAAGGAGACTGTGACCTTATATATACTCTTTATCTGACCTCTTTGATGCAGTATAAAGTGATTTGGTTAGTTCCACTCATACCTTAACTTCTGAAGCTGAAACAGCGTCAGCATGAATCTTCCAGTAAAGTCAATCGACAGCTGGTCAAGAGGAATCCGCCGTCATCTTCTGGTGGAACCGACCTTCGAAACTCTTCACACCAATCTTCACACGAAGTGGGAGTAAACTCAACAATGTTGAGAGATTATACTTCAATTTAAAAACACGACAGTTAGAAGATTCATTTTGAACCTAGTTCTGTCCATCCTAGGCTGCAGCTTAAAGAGATTTCCAAATTAAGAAAACGCCTTGATTGACCATTTAAATTGCTGAGTTTATTTCCATTTCAAATGATAATGTATGATGAAGAGATTCGAAGGTCGAATCAACCAGAAGAAGACGGCGAATACATGCAGACACACATGCTCCGAGGATGAGATATGAGTAGAACTAACC